AAAAAAAAAAAAAAAAAAAAAACAACAAAATCTTACAGAACTTTCCTCTGATTGGTGTTTGCCTTTGGCTTAGGGTTTGGGTCCAGGACTGACTTACCTCCAGTTCCCTTCTAGGATGTACTCTGACTCCCCAGCCTATAGCTTCTTTCCTTTTGTTCTCTCCCCAGGTCCCCCAGTTTCCCCATCATTCAGGACTCCATGCTGAAGGGCAAACTGGGTGTACCAGAGCTTCGAGTTGGGCGCCTCATGAACCGTTCCATCTCGTGCACCGTGAAGAACCCCAAAGTAGAGGTGTTCGGCTACCCTCCCAGCCCCCAGGCAGGTCTCCTGTGCCCCCAGCACGCGGGCCTCCCTCCCCAAGCACGGACCTCTCCTTTGGTACATGGGCTGGGGAGGGTTTGACTCGGGCACCAGGAGGATGGGAGTAGAAATGTGGGAGCTTAGCATTGCAGATAGGAGGGTGTGTGGGGTTGTCTGGCCTTGTAAGTAGTCCTGGACATGTACTCTGAGTGGGTAGAATGGAACACATTTTTTCAGTATTGAAAACTTCTCAACTGACAGGCTGTCTGGTAGCAGGTGTCGAGTCAGTCTGGAGATGGGTGTCCACCAGAGAAACTGTGTAATTTCACTAGGTTGTAGTTGGAACTGGGTAGTCAACTGCTGTGCGAACCTGTCCCATCTTTTAAGAAAGTTAAGCATAGGTGAGCACTTTCCCAGAATCTCTGACACAAATGTGTGCAAAGCTCCTCTCCACTTCTGCGATTCCTTGGGCTGATTTGAGCTAGGGTTAGGGTTTAGGAGGTTCCTAAGTGGTGTCGGGGAGGGGGTCTGTCTGGGCCGCGGATTCATAGGAGACTCACGCGGCTTGTCGTTCACATTCGCCAGGTCAGTGGTCACTGCAAGAACATCCCCACCTTGGAGTACGGATTCCTCGTCCAGGTAAGCAGGTCCTTGGCTGCACTCTGAGGGCCTCCCATTGTCTGGCCTGCCTGGTCCCTGGAGACCACCCAGCCCCTCGCTCGCTTTGCTCCCAGAGCTGCGCTAAGTGTCGAGTGAACAGAAGGGAAGAAGGCACAGTTCCATCCTTGAGACAGCCATAGTGTCAGCGGGAGCTCGTACAGGCCACTTAGGGTCAGGGCAGACGAGGCGCTGCGGATGTTGAGCGTGTGGTGTTGAGAGTGGATTAATACTATTTCCTTGGGATCCCCAGCATCACTTACCCAAGTGATCTTCGGTTTTCCTCACAGGCTGCTGTCACTGCTCATCTACTGCTGGTCGTTGCTTCTTTTTCCAGTCACTTTATTACCTTGAAAGCTCTCACTGCAGTACTTCTGTCATGCTCTCCCTCCGCCAGCTTCCTCCCTGAGCTGCTCAGTGCAGTCCAGGCTCAGATGCTGCCTTTTCCGTACAGTCTCTACCACTCGCCAGCCACCCTGGCTGGATGTGGTTTCTCCCTCTCTGACCTTGTGAGATGCTTTTTGTCTGTGTAGCACCTGTGTGTCACAGGCCGTGTGGTGCCTTGGATTGTAAATAATTTGTGTACATGCCACGTCTCCAGTTGGAGTTTGAGAGCATAAAATATAACCTTTCTTTCTTACGTCTCTAGTTTGAAACAGGGTCTCACTACGCAGTTCAGGCTGATCTTGAACTTACTTTGTAGCCCAGGCTGTTCTAGAACTCAAAATGATCCTCCTGCCTCAGCCTCCTGAGTGCTGGGATTACAGGCATGCACCACCACACCCTACTTTCTGTGAAGTTTATTTATTTATTTATTTATTTTTGTGTTTTTGAGACAGGGTCTCGCAGTTCAGGCTGGCCTTGAGCTCACTTTATAGCCTAGGCTGGTCTCGAACTTGCAATGATCCTCCTGCCTCAGCCTCTCGAGTGCTGTGATTACAGGCGTGCGCCACAACGCCCAGCTCACTGTGAAGTTTAGATTGCTCTTGAGCTCACTTTGTAGCACAGGCTCGCCTTGAACTTGTAGTGACCCTTCTGTCTTGGCTTCATGAGTGCTGGGATTACAGGTGTGTGCCACCATGCCTGGCTTTCACCCAGGATTTCTAAACCAAAGGCCATAGCTCATCTTATTTTTCTCATACTGTATAGACTCAGTGATGCGGTCTGCACAGTATGAGACAGACATTAATTTAACCCTGTATAGGGCTCAAGAATAATAGGTCCTGCCTTAGGCAGGGGGCTGCAAGAGAGTAGGGCAGCTAGAAAAGAAACTTCAATTATTTCCTGTGTCTCAGCAGCAAAAACTTCCTGTGTCTTTGTCTATATTTCAGAGCATACAGAATCTGTGCTGGCTTTGCCAGCACATACACTAAAATTGGAATGATGCAGAGAAGATTAGCATGGCCCCTGCACAAGGATGACATGTAAATTCATGAAGTGTTCCATCCGACAGGAGAAATTTTAATGCCTGTATCTTGTACTCTACATAACTACTTTAAAGACAACAATATGCAATGTACTATTGTTACTCTACTATTCTATTATGAATCTTCATTTTACCTTTTTTCCATTAAAAAAAGTGGAAAAGAAAAAAACAGGTACAGATCTGCTCTCTTTGCAGATCATGAAGTACGCGGAGCAGAGGATCCCGACGCTGAACGAATACTGCGTGGTGTGCGATGAGCAGCATGTCTTCCAGAACGGGTCCATGCTCAAGGTGTGGCCCCTGCTCCGCGGCCCTTCTCCTTGCTCGGGGCCCCTCCTCGTCTCTCCTTTCCTCCTGGGCCCGTGGTAAAGGAGAAATTCTGTGTGCACTCCCTGAGATGTTAGAAGTAATGATTTCCTAGAAAATAAGTCTCAACTGTCCTGTTTGGAGAGATGAGAATATTTTGGAGGACAAAGTCCCCATCTTAATTTAGAAGTAAGGATCAGACATTGAGCCAGTTGATTGGATATGGCAGCATCCTCAGGTGTCCCAAGTCAGGGTGGGCAAACAGATGCTTAACTGTAAGTTACAGTGTATTAAATACAGGCATAGCAGGAGTGTTGTGGAAATTCAGACGAAAGCCTCTGACTGCCTGAAAGGGAAGGCTTCACAAGCAGACAGCTTAGCTCAGAGATTTACCAATACAGATTTCAAGGAAGCTTCACTCACTAATAGTTTCCTCCAGGCATATAGGGCCTCATATTCCTACCTTGTGCTAGATTTGGCAAACATCAGGGGTCTTGTCTCTCTATAACCCACACCTTCATAGTCTGTTGAATGTGTCTATCCAGCCAGCTGTCTGTACTCGGGAACTGTGTGTCTTCTCCTTCTACACCCTGGGGGTCATGTCTGGAGCTGCCGAAGACGTGGCTACTGGAGCAGAGGTATGGGAATTGGGATCCAGAAAGGCAGAGAAGCCAAGTATGGTGATGTGTTCCTGTAATACCAGCTACTGAGGAAGCTGAGGCAGGAGGGCTGCAAGTTCAAATTCAACTTGGGCAACTAGGTTGAGACTCTGTCTCAAAACGCTGGAAATGTAGCTCAGTATCAATGGGTTCAACCCCCAGTACTTTTTTTTTTTTTTGGTCCCAGTACATTTTTTAAAAATTATAGAACAGGAAATCGAGGCTGAGCATAGAGGCACACTCCTGTAATCCCAGTGCTTTGGAGACTGAAGCAGGAGGATCAATGTGAGTTTGAGGCCAACCTGGGCTACAAAGTGAGTTCAAGGCCAGCCTGAAATGCATAGTAAAACCATGTCTCAAAAAGACAAACCAAGAAGTAGATACAACCCCACCTGTAATGTGTCCAGTTAAATTATGGCATGTCCTTACAGTGAAAATACAATTAGTATTTATGGATAGAAAATTGTAGCATATAGTTAATATCAGAAAGCAAATACAGATCCAGGCATGGTAGCACATGCCTATAATCCCAGCACTTTGGAGGCAGGAAGGTTGCTTTGACCTCAAGACCAGCCTGGGTTACATAGTTCAAGGATAGCCTGAATTATGTAGTGAGATCCTGTCTCAAAAAGCAAATACAGAGTCTGGCCTGGTGGTGCAGGGTTGAGAGCCTGAAGTAGAATTACTTGATGGCAAGGGTTATGCATGCTTAGCACGTGTGAATCCTGGCTTCAACTTCCAGTAGGAAGGAAGGGGAGGGATGGAGGCAAGAACAGAGGTTTCTGGGAGGTGATACTTATCTTTGATCCCTTGGTTGTTTCTTGACTTTTTATAATAAGGTTGTATTTTCTTTTTTTTTTTTTAAGTTTGTACTTTCTAAACAAAAAGCCACAAAAGTATTTGTTTTTAGAAAGAGAAGCAGGGAGAAATGCTAGGCATCATGGGACTCGTAAAATTGAGCATCCTTCAACTCTGTCACCATCCTTTGCTTTCCCCTCAGGTGGTAGACCTGCTGGTGGCCATGTGTAGGGCAGCTCTGGAGTCCCCGAGAAAGAGCATCATCTTTGAGCCTTACCCCTCCGTGGTGGACCCCACTGATCCTAAGACTCTGGCCTTTAACCCTAAGGTACAGTTGCTTGGGAACAGGTCGGGGCTGAGGAACAGAGCTGGTGAGGGGTAGTGGGATACTTCGGGCTGTCAGTGCCTTTACACAAGGGCTTAGCAATGAGGGTCGGGGAAGATGGAGCACTTCCCTATTTCTTGGGAACTCCTGACCCCAGCATTTAGCTGTTTCAGTGAACAAGTAGCTGAGTTTGTCTAAAGAAAGCAGAAGAATTAGCCTCTGTTACTTCATTGTGGGAAGAATATAGATTCTGCTGCAGACCAACGGGGATTCCAGATGAGGTTCTTCTGCTCCCTACGAGAAAGTTGGGAAGTTGCTTAACTTCTGAACTGGAGTTTCCTTTCCTGTAAAGGGGATTGTTATAAAAGTGAGGGGTAGCATGTGTAAAGTGTATTAGTATTCTTCAGAAAAACAGAACAAATAGATTATAAAAGATAAATAGAAATATTTATATTTATAGCTCCGGATAGTCTGTTGTTCATCTAGGAGATGACCTAAGTATTCTGCCCTCTGCCTGCCCAGCTCAGATATGAGTATTTTGTAGTCTTCTTCCTGTTTCTCCGGAGACACACACTCAGGTACATACACATAGGCATGCACATGCATATACATGCACATGTATATAAAGGAGACAAAAAAGGCTTATTAGAAGGACTTGCCCCATATGATGATGGAGACTCTGAAGTCCCAGCACCTGCAGTTAGCAGGCTGGCGTCCTGGGAGAGCATGTGGTATGTGTGGTTCTAGTTCCAATCCAGAAGCCTGAGAACCAGGAGAGCCAGTGCTTTAACACATTCATCAAGGGGCTGTAATCCGTATGGCTCTCTGCCGGACGGCTTGGTCCCATGTGTGACTGGATCACTTCTACCACCAGTGCTATAAGCTACCCAGTGGGACAGTCATGCATGTACCACTGGTGGCTCAAGCCGGTAGGAACATGGTAAGTTCTAGGGCCAGGGAGATAGCTCAGCGACACAGCACCTACCTGGCAAGCGCAAGGTCCTGAGTTCGATTCCTAATACAAAAAAAAAAAAAAAAAAAAATCCAGTAAGTTCTAGTCCAAGAGCCAAAGGCTCAAGACCCAAGAAGAGTCAATTCTTTAGTTCTATTCTGAAGGCAGGAAAAGGCTGATACGCAATTCAGATAGTCAGGAGGAAAACACTTTTATTCAAGGGCAAGATGCAGTGAGGTTAGTAGCTTTTTGTTCTGTTCACATCTCTGGTTACCTGGATAAGATCCTTCCACGTTAGAGAGGGCAGTCTGCTGACTGCAAGTGAATCTGAACCAAGAACACCCTCAGAGACATACCCAGAAATCATACTTGGCTGCAGGAAACCAGCCTACCAGGAGTGCCTAACTTTAGGGGGCAAACAGATTAAAGACAAAACATAGATAATTTTCAAAGAGGGGCCAGGGGCTCTTGCCTGTAGTGGACAAAGAGCCCTAGCATCTGGCTCACCTTGCTTATACCCAACTTAGCAAGCGAGCAAGCAATTAGGGTAAATGAAAATTCACCTACTTCTCATTATTTGCAAAGTGTACCCAGGTAAGAATTTCTCTAAACTGGATCTGTGCTGCTGTTGACCTTTCCTCTGGAACTTGCTACGTGCCAGCATGCGGCACATTGCCCAGGGGGGAACAGCTTGCTGTTCCCTCCTCCACGTCCGCAGGGAAGGTCCACTAGGCCTTGAGCCTTATGACCAGTTTCCTGCATTTGCCAAACATCTATGTACCCATGGCTCAGTCACGTTGACTGTTGAAATTAACCATCATGGGTATACAGCCGGGCACCTCCCTGTTCCTGTCCTTACTGTGTGTCAGGCATCACACTAGGTTCTTTACATAGATTATTTAATCCTCGGAACATTTCTGTGAGGGGGTTAGGAATTGTTATTTACATTGGCACTTGGGGCTGGGGATGTAGCTCAGGGGTAGAGAGCTTGTCTAGCACGCATAGGAACCTCAGGTGCCATCCACAGTGCTGCAAAAACAAAAATAGTAAAGCAAAAAATTGCCATCATTTGCAAGCAGGGATGCTGAGATTCTAAGAGTCTAATGACTTCCCCTGTTACTTCTGGCTGGTAAAAGAGACCTGGCACTTGGTTGGAGCTGTCTGATGTTGAATCTGTCTCTGTCCATGGCACACTGCTGTGCTTCCTGAGCCCAGATTTCTTTTGCACACCTTACCCTCTTTCTCGTCATGTCTTTCACTGTCTTCTGCTTTTCTTCACACGGTTCTTTTCCCATTAACTCTGCAGAAAAAGAATTATGAGCGGCTTCAGAAAGCTCTGGATAGTGTGATGTCCATCCGGGAGATGACCCAGGTACTCTGCCCTGTGTGTGTCCCCTACCCTGTGCCTGCCCAGGTCAAGTCCCATATTCTGTTTGTAATTCCTGGGTGTGCAATGTAGAGACGCTACTCAAGTTCCTGTGTGTTTTTAGTATTCCTTCTGTAACCTTGCCAATTCTTGTTCTTTGTTTCATTAGCTTTCTCGTGTGTGTGTGTGTGTGTGTGTGTGTGTGTGTCTTTTTGAGACAGGGTCTCGTTATGAAGTTCAGGCTGGCCTTGAGCTCACTTTGTAGCCCAGGCTGGTCTCAAACTCACGATGATCCGGTCCTCCTCCCTCAGCCTCCCGAGTGCTGGGATTACAGGCATACAGCACCATGCCCAGCCTCTTACTGTTTAATTCTCTTCCCCCTAGTGCTTTTTTCAGCCTTTACCTTTGCTGTTAATTTCTGTACAAGTTGTTCATATTTGATGTTCTTCTATAATTATTGGGGAATTCAGGGCAAGACCTCTCCCCAAGGTTGGGGGTGTAACAAGGGGAATTTGGAAGTAATCAGTGACACCCAGGGGCCCAATCTTCTGTCCTTCCGGGGGTGGGGCAGCCACTTGTAGCAGTGTCCACCCTTTGACTTGAGGCTGTCCCTCAGCATGCCCCACCTTGTCTGCAGTCTGCATGAGTAGACACTCACTTGTACTCACATTTACAGGTGGGCCACTCCTCAGCACATCCTGGCCATCACAGTTCAGAGTAGCACATAACGCAGTCCTTGGAGGGAGAATTTAATTGTCCAAAGGACTCTGCTTTATGTAAAGATTTACCACAGGATTCTCCTTGCTCTAATCTTTCCGGAACATGGATTTTATTTATTTTTTGATTTATAATCAACTTTTTTTTTTTTTTTTTGGTTTTTCTCCGGTACCGGGAACCGAACTCACGACCTTGTGCTTGCCAGGCAGGCGCTTTGCTGCTGAGCTAAATCCCCAGCCCCTATAATCAACTTTTTAGGGCTGTAGGAATTGCATAAAATGAGGGAGACCCAGCTGCATGTTGTTTTGTAAGCGTCTTCAGTCATTTTCATATTTACTTATGATTCCCAACCTGACCGAGCTCCTTAAGGGTGGAAGCCCCGTGTCCTACGTACCCTGTGTGGCCCTTGATGCCTGTCTCACCTGAATCCTGCGAGTGTATTTAGAGCGGGAGGGCTCATGCCCCTGCTGAGAGAGAATCTTATGGCGGTTGTCTTACAGGGTTCGTACTTGGAAATCAAGAAGCAGATGGACAAACTGGACCCCCTGGCCCATCCTCTCCTGCAGTGGTACGGATAGAATGGCCCAGCCTTCCTGGGACGCAGGAGGGAGGGAGAAAGAAATTGAACGTAGAGCCAACTCCTTCCCCTAGAGGCGGTTCCACTTCCTTCACAAGGTTGTAGACATGGTTTTCCAGAGTTTTCTTGGAGTTCTGCTGTTGGTATATTATGCCTTCACAGGAATTCAGATCCTGCAGAGTACTCACACAATTCTCACACAATTTCTCAAGTTCTCTTTACGTATTCCATGTTTACCAAAGGTTTGTTTTCTTGTTTGTTTTTATAGTTTTGAGACAGGGTTTTACCATGCAGTTCAGGCTAGCCTTGAACTCACTTTGTACCCCAGGCTGGCCTCAAACTCACAGCAATCCTCTTGCCTCAGCCTCCCAAGTGCTGAGATTACAGGCATATGCCACTACTCCCTGCTCTTTTTAATTGTTTGTTTGTTTTTCTGGTTTTTTAATTTTTTTTTTGTCTTTTTGAAACAGTCTCACGATGCAGTTCAGGCTGGCCTTGAACTCACTTTGTAGCCCAGGCTGGTCTCGAACTCAGGACAATCCTCCTCCCTCAGCCTCCCGAGTGCTGGGATTACGGGCGTGCCCAACCACGCCCGGCATGACATTATAGTTTGAAATAGGTGTGTATTGTGGAGTGGCTCTAAAGAGCTGATTACCATGTTCATTGCTTTATTTCGCTACTTTTTAAGTAATATTTAAAATGTACCCTTTTTGTGTCTTTTTTGGTTTCCTTTTTCTTTTTTTGGTTTTTTTGAGATAGGCTCTCACTGTGTAGTTTATACTGGCCTTGAACTTGCAGTGATCTCTCACCTCAGTCTCTCGAATAGGATTATAGGCATGGGCCCCCATTCCCTGCTAGTTTTCAAGAAAATAAAACATTACTTGCAGGCACCACCAGTAGGTTTTTGAGGGTCCCTTGCGTGCAGGAATTAGCACTGTTCATTTTAGCTCTGTCTTCTGTGCACCCAGGGAGATGTGTCTCTCCCTGCCTTCTCCTTTTCTTGTCCAGGGCCTGGGCTGGGCAGCATGCCTAGAGCCTGGGGTGCTGCTCTTGTCCCTTTTGCCTTCCTGGGCCCTCCCTCCCTGTTCTGCTTTCCTCGTTCTCCTGGCATTGTTCCTTCAGCTGGCTGCTCTTCCTGGTCAGCCTTGGTAGCAGGGCTTCTCAGTGCCACGGCATCTTCCCTCTCGGTGTGAGGATGGAGTGGGCACTGACCACCCGGGCATTACGAGGACACGAATGAGGCCCTAGACAGACTGGCCCCTGCAGGAGACCGTGCTGTCTTCTGGGCCCCCTACGCCTTACGCCTTCATTTTCGCCTATTCTCCATGTTCAGCTGTGCACAGCCATGCCTGTCCCTGACTCCTCAGGAAGTTCTTTCTAGTTTCTTCTGTCTCTTTCTCTAGCCTAGATAGTAGCTCTCTCTATTCTTCTCCTTCCCTGAGACTAAACCCAAGGTGTATGCTGTCTCTATCCTAATTCGCGTTTCTTTTCTACTTTTATTTTCTTAAGTAGATGACTTCTGGGTTTTTTGTTTGTTTGTTTGTTTTTGAGACAAGGTCTTGCTATGCAGTTCAGGCTGCCTTTAACTCACTATGTAGCCTAGGCTGGCCTCGAACTTGAACTGATCCTCCTGCCTCAGCCTCCTGAATGGTGGGATTACAGGTGTGTACCACCGCGCCTGGCTAATAGGTGACTTCTTGACTCTTCCTCTTGTTTCATCCTTTTTGTCATCCTTGGTGTAGCAGCCCACCTCCTGCCTTGCCTCTCACCTGTTTCAACTAGCTGACCTCTGGTCAGTAGGTTCCCCTTTAAATGTTTGTACATAGGTGTCGTCACTCAAAGGCTCTCCAGATAGTGACCTGATCGTGTCACATGGTTCAGACAGCCCGAGAACCCCTGCTTGTTCTCCCGTGGTCAGAGAAGGCTCTTGTTTGGGACAGTAACCACACACTTACTCTGCCCTCTCCCTTTGGTCTCTGTTTCTTTGCAGGATCATCTCTAGCAACAGGTCACACATTGTCAAACTACCTCTCAGCAGGGTAAGTGCTGACACTCTCTCTAAAGCCTCCAAGTTTCTGGGGAGGGGCGGGGAGGGCTGTGAGCCAGCTGCCACAGTGCTCATAGATCTGCCTGCCTGGCTTTGTCCATCGGTAGAGTCTTTGGGCCTCACATGTTTCTCGTGTTGGGGGGTCAGTGCCAGCCTCACTTGTTCCCTCTCCCCACCCTTCCCTCCCTGATCTCGATTTCCGCTCTGTTTCCCTGGCACCGCCCCACCCTGGGCAGCAGCTGAAGTTCATGCACACCTCACACCAGTTCCTCCTGCTGAGCAGCCCTCCGGCCAAGGAGGCTCGGTTCCGGACCGCCAAGAAGCTCTACGGCAGCACCTTCGCCTTCCAGTGAGGAGGGGAGCCTGGGTAGCCTCGGGAAGGGGGGCCTGCAGGTGTTGAGTGTGTGTGACACGCTTGTGTCAGTCACCTAGTCAGTGAGGAGGTGGGAAATGCTGCTGTGGTAGGTGCTGCGGAGGAGGAAAAGATTGCAGGAGTGGTTTTTATTTTCAAGCTGTCACAGTGGAAGAGAAATGATATTTACATGTGAAAAGAGGGAGTTGGAATAGATTGGAAGGGATAGACTTGAAAGCTTATTTGAAAGGAAATCCACAATTTATGCCTAATTATGGGAGGGAAGAGGGAAGAAAAGATATTAAAGACACCTTGGAATGGTAGTACCATTTCCTTAAAATAAAATGCGAAGTCTAGACTGGAAGCCATATTTGGGGTCAGTGATAAGTTTACATAGCTTGAGATGAATTTGTTGGATTTGAAATATCAGGAACAACAGGCAGAAGAAAGCATGAACCAGCAGTTGAGGTTTTAGAATGTGATTCGCTGAAGAGCAGGAGAGCTGGCACTGGTGGTGAGGACGGGGGGTTTAACCGTATATGCACACATAGCCTGTGTGCTGTGACTGCACCCAGGTGCTTGTGCATCCCTAGGCAGAGCCGTGTGGGTCTGGATGGGTGGGAGAGGCCGTCTTGGAAGTGCTTCCTGGAGCCTCTTCCCGAAAGGAGGCCTGTGTTCTGCCCTGCCTTGCAGTGGGTCCCACATTGAGAACTGGCATTCGATTCTGCGCAATGGGCTGGTCAATGCGTCCTACACCAAACTGCAGGTGAGGCTGTACCCCTTCTCTGCCCTCTCCCAGCCCCTGGTTTGCAGAGGCTGCTCTAGAGCACTCAGCTGCTTTTGCCTCAGCCCTCCGCCCTCGCTGTTTCAGGAGCTTCACTAGAGAGGAAGTTGGAGTTGGGTGCGGAGAATGAATGTGCTTTATGTGTTTGGACGTGGGCTGTGTGTTTCGGTGGTGTTGGGAGAGGGAATGTACCTGCAGGCAGGGATGTAGACTTGCTGACTGCAGCCACTGTGATCAATTCACCTATTACACAGAGCTTTTATCTTCATGGCTGTTCAAGGAATCGCTATGAGTTCTTGTGCTTTCCCCTGAGAGACTGCCAAGGGCGTTGCTGCTCCTCCTGGTTCCCTGGTCTGTAGTTCCTTTGTTAGGGAATCTGCATGTGTGCCAGGACCTGGGGACCAGGAGTGTGGGTATTGCGGGGACAATTGCCCTGCCACTCCCCATACCAGGATGTCCTAGGCAAGCAGAGTAACCTGAATCCACTTTTCAGGCAACCCACGTTGCAAGTGTAGTGCCTAGAGTGTTTGAGGAGGTAGTTGGAGGGACAGGGGACTGGAAAAGCCCTGTGGATGCCTCATGCAGAGCCGTGGGCGGGCCCGGGCTCATATGTTCATCCTGGTGTTTCCCTGCAAGCTGCATGGAGCAGCCTATGGCAAAGGCATCTACCTGAGCCCCATCTCCAGTATTTCCTTTGGATACTCAGGTAAGAAGTGCGCTCTGGCCACTGTGACTGTATTTACATCGCATCCATTTGTGAACACATGATGTGTGCTGTCTGCTCCTCCCCATTGTGGATACTGTTTGGTCTCAGCCCTCTCCCCAGTCATGGATGCATAACCTATCTTTCTGCACTTTCTCTCTCTAGTTTAGATTATTTATGCAGTAAAGCCAGTCACTGTTACAAAGAGTAGTGTTGTTCATTGTAGGGGCTTGGCCTTGAGAAAGGTTTAAGGAACAATTGAAAAGTGAAACAAGGCTTCGTAAGCCACATTTTTTGTACTGGCAGTTATTAAAGACTGTATGTGTGCATGCGTGCATGTGAATTTCTGTGTGAAGGCATAAATTATGCGGGAAGGCTTGGGTCCTTTGTATTGCTTTATATTTCCCGAGATGGTGTTCCTTCTGTTACTTTTTACAACTTAAACTGAGCTGGGCATAGTGGCATAGACCTGTAATCGCAGCACTCCGGGAGGCTGAGGCAGGAGGATCACAAGTTTGAACCCAGCCTGTGCAATTTAGTGACTTGGTGAGACCCTATCTCAAAAAATAAAAAGTGCGGCTGGGACGTGGCTCAGTGGTAGAGCTCATGCCTTCCATGCACAAGGCCCTGTGTTTGATTCCCCAGCACCATACACACACACACACACATAAATAAATAAATAAATAAATAAAAAATTAAAAGGCCTGAGGGTGAGCTCATTGAAAACATCCCAGGTTCAATCCCCAGAACTGTAATCTATCAGTCAGTGAATACAGTTTGTACTGTGTGTAATAGTTGAATACTACAGTATTCACACTGGATGAAAAGAAGGCATTTTATCCCAAAGATAAGACATTAACAAGCTTCAGATTCTAGTGAGGAGATGGCTGTAGCAGTGTCTACCTCAGGAAAGGAATTCGATTAGAGCTCTCTCCTTGCAGGTTCAGGTTCACGCCTTAGCTCCTTTTCAGTCTACGTTTTCTTGTTCAGTGTGGCCTCCACGTACAGGATGGTCACCATGTCGCCATCATGTCCACTTGATGAAGGCAGTTGTTCTAGGTTCTCTGTAGATGATTTAGTGTTCTGCTGTAATTGTGGCTGTTATAAAGACAGAAAACTTACGGCTAGAATCACAGAATTAGAAAATTCTCTAACAATAGAACAAAACAAAATAGAGAAGGGAGACAATACAGATAAAAACAAAACTCCGTGAAATAATTACAGATACAGTGAATAGGAGCAGTAAATCCAAAAGATGATTCTTTTAAAGAACTGACAAAAAAAGATGAATCCTGGTTAGACTAATAGAGGGGCACAAACAAGCAGTATGAGTAGCTGAGCTATGGTATATGACTATAATCCCAGCTACTCAGGAGGATCACAAGTTCAAGACCAGCTTGGGTAACTCGGCTCTCAAAAAAAAATTTTAAGCATATGTTAGCAATATATAATAAACACATTCGTCACAGGGAATTGGTACATACACATACTACATCTCCATCCTTCCTGCTTCTCTTGGGGATGAAATTTTCTTTTTAAAGAGGTGGGGGTGTAGTTCAGTGGTAGAGCATTTGCCTGGCATGTGCAAGGCCCCAGGTCAATCCCTAGTAACTCCAAAAAAAGAGAGAAAGAGAAAGGGAGGTAGGGAAGGAAGAAGGAAGAGAAAGAAAGAAAGAAAGAAAGAAAGAAAGAAAGAAAGAAAGAAAGAAAAAGAAAAGAAAGAAAGAAAGAGAAAGAAGTACAGGTATACCAGAATTTTTAAAAGCTGAGAACTGTAAACTTTATGCCAGTAATTTGAAAATTTGAACAAACTGAATTTATAAAAAAAATACAATTTAGGCCGGGCGTGGTGGCACACGCCTGTAATCCCAGCACTCGGGAGGCTGAGGCAGGACAATTGTTTCAAGTTCGAGGTGAGCCTGGGTTACAAAGTGAGCTCAAGGCCACCCTGAACTGCATAGCGAGACCCTGTCTCAAAAAGACAAAAAA